GCTCCCTGTGGTGGCGAGGTTGGAGGAGCTTGCCGGCGGCCTGTTCTGCCCTCGCTGGTGGCTGCCCCACTGGGCTCAGTGCCCAGACTGACCCCAGGAAGGAGGGCGTGCTGTTGCCCATTCTGTCACATTCTTCGTCTACTGACTGGTTAAGCACAAAGTGAGAACTTCCACCAACATTTGTGTGAGGCACGTCCCCCCCTGCCCCCGACCTCGTTGACCAAGACTTCAGGGATGCACTGTAAATTTAAGGCACAGTTGAGCTCAACCCGGAGAAATGAAAGTAAATACAAGAGCAAACCATTTGAAATGGGGCCAATGGGAAGACTTTCCCTTGGAGGAGATTCTGTCTTGGGACTCTGGCCCCTCTCGGTTAGCTCCAGGGAGCTGGGGGCGAGGGGACTGGGGCAGGGGGGGGACTTGCCCTTCCAGCTTCTGTGCAGGGTCTCCAGTGTATGTTCTGAGTGAACCTCTGCAGCCACTCCCAGGAGCCCTTTTAGGGGGAGGACAGAGGCTGAGGGCTGCTTTCACTCCACTGAAAGCTGATGTGCGCAGGCTCCAGGACCCGTCTCCTTCACCACCCGTGAATGTTTATTAAATATCCCATTTAACTGCGGCCTCCAAAGTAGAGGGGCAGATAAAACCGGCTTGAGCAGGCTGCCGGATCCGCCAGGTTCTGACCCACAAGGAAAAGCTGGCTGCTCAAGTCCAAGTGCAGGAGCCCTAGGAGAAGGTGGCCTTCAGAGGCTTCAGGTCTTTGCACACTGGGGATAAGAGTCACAGCACATGCAGGCGCCCATAGCGTTCCCCAAGTCTCCTTGTTTTCCTTCGTGTTCCACGCTGCTGGGGTGGGGCTGCTCATCCCCTCCGGGCGGGGCCAAGGGCTGCACCTTAGTGGGGTGTCATGGCCCCACCCTCGCACCCCCTGCACCCCACCCTCTCCCTCCCCCAGCCCGGTGCAGGCCCGAGACCAACCAGTTCATTCTCTCCCAGTCCTTTTGCCTTGCTGCCTTCATGTCCTGGCTCCTCGCTCCACCATAACTCCTTCCTATGTGCCACCACACATGGCCTGTCCCTACATGGGCCCCTGATCCCTTCTGGCTGAGCAGGACCCACTCTGAATGCCTGGCCAGCCTCCTTGGGGCCCTGAGAAGATTCCAGACATCACCGTGCTTCCTGCTGCTGAAATCTCTACCCCAGCAAACAGCTCTGCCCCTTCTTTCTCTACTCTCTGACTGCCAGCCACCCACACACCTAGTGGACCCACAGCTCACCTCCTTGCCTTTCTCCCGACCCCACCTCCCATGCTCAGGA